GTCTAATTTCATGTCTAGAGTCAATATGGTTTTGGGAGAGAATTAAGAATCTATGGTCCTCCCTCTTCTCCTCCTCGCCCCCACAACGCTCCTTGCCATCATACCTGAAGTGTCTTGTTCATCCTCATAGAGGTATGTGTGTTTGTGGGTAGGTGTTTGATGAGGGACAAAACCTCCATGATCGTATCGTCTCGAAGTGCGCGGAAAGTGCATACATTGGAGACGCCAACGAGATGGCCTGTAATCCGGGGCAAGCTGAAGCAAGATTTTTAAACGAAGAGCTCGAAAGACGCACTTCAATTCCCACAAGATTTCACAACAACCTCTGTTTAAACTTTATAGCCAGAAGCAACAGCCAATTTTAATTGGATTCCCCTGCGCAGAAGGTTGAAACAGTAAGCGAGCGAGCGAGCGAGAGAGAGAGAGAGAGAGAGAGAGAGAGAGAGAGAGAGAGAGAGAGAGAGAGAGAGAGAGAGTCTTGCATGCTGAGCCTGCCACACGGGCCCCATTTCTGGGGCCCGACAGTTTCTGAAGGCCCCCAGACCGCACGCCCATTCCAGGCATGCGACCTGAAGGCCCACGGCCATGGTTCAGGCCAATGCACGTTTTGGTGCCATCCAGGTTCTCGTTCTTCAGCCTTCATTTATTTATTTATATATTGCTGAGTCAATGCTGACCTTCGTCTGGTTCTATTTTTGTCTGTTCCAGGGCGTCGTTTTGACTTTTCAGCGTGTCCGAACAGACTGGTCTCTGTTTGGACTAGGACCAGGTTCTGGGCCTCTTGAGAGGCCAGATTCACGACTGGGCCTCTCCTGGCCGGGTTCGGGTTTGTCTGGTAGCGGACAATCCCTGCTGCATCAGCGGCAGGCCCTGGATGTCCGTTAGGGACCCAGGCAGGCCATTTTTGGCCAGGACCAGAGGAGCAGGACTTTTTCTGTAATCTGGACCATGGATCAGACTCACGATCACGCAGCCCAGATTGCAGGTCATGGGCACACAAGCCAGGCCCAGCGCTATAGATAGCTGGGCTAGTCCAGCGTTTGGACACACAGGAGTCTTCACTCCTTTTGGGCGACATGCTGCTGAGCAGCACACGACTTACAGCGCTGTGCTATAGTTAGAGGTAGAGGTAGAGGTGAAGGGCTAGGAGAGGTGGTGGCATACCTGCGAGGCGACGGAGGATCTACCTGGGTGCCATAGCTGGTCTTCTTCGCCAGCGACCTTCAGCAACGAGGGACATTCCAGTTCGTCAGTACACGGCAGCAGCTATTTGCAGGTGAGGTAGTGGACAGGTCGACATCTTCTTCTTCTTCCTACTTCCACCCTCCATTTCCCTCTTCTTCTTCTTCTTCTTCTTCTTCTTCTTCTTCTTCTTCTTCTTCTTCTTAGAGAAGGACAGAGAGAGGTTACAGGCAGAGGTTATGTCGGCCTATGGGGGCCCAGGATCTCATTCGACATCACGGAGGCAGACATTGATTGGATATTTGACAGGGGGACTATTTTTGGACTCCTTGGTTTTCTCCCTCATCTCCATCTTCGTCTTGTCTTCCCCCCATCTCCTTCTCCGTGGTTTCTCCCCATGTGTGTGATCAAGGAGGGACCTTTCTTCCATGTATGCAGTCCCTCCCTTCCCTCTCACATGTGTGATGTGTGATGGGTTGAGTGGCGTCAGTGTCCGACAGATCAAGTCATATCTTTTGAGTCTTCCACTGCGCTATGTTGTGCTATTTTTGTATGTATATGGATGTACATTGCTTGTTGATGCTTCACTGATGCTGCATTGTCCATTCGAGTCCTTATCAACAATTTGCTGGTCCTTGGCACCATTCACATCCCTCGGCTTATTCCGAGGACGCATCAGAGAGAGAGGGAGAGAGAGAAAGGGAAAGGGGGAAAGAGAGAGAGAGAGAATGGGGGAAGGAGAGAGAGAAGGGGGAATCACATTTCGAGACGTCTTGCTATTCCAAAGCTCCACACAGCTTCGATTCAAACCTGGCGAGAAGTTCCTACAAAACACACTCATAAAAAACACAAGCATGCAGCTGTCGGGACTTGGGCTAGGTAGGGTCATGTCAGATAGAGAAAGGGGAAGGACAGGGGAGGAGGAGGGGATCATCCCAAGCCGGCCAGGCGGCCCCAAACGCGCTGATGAACTAGAGGGGATTGCTGACATTCCCAAAGATTTTCACCACCTAGTATTGCTCAGAAAGGGTTGAGGTATGGAGGAGGGGAGATAGGGTAGGTGAGGGGGCAAGTACAAAAGGAATAGAACTTTATTACAGAAGCTGCCTCTGCAGTGGCTGACGAAGTGGTACTCATAGCGCGATTGCCATCCTTTGACCACAAGAGTCAAGACCTTAATCTTTCCTTTCACCGAGATCGTATGGTGGAGGCAAAGAGAAGAGAGAGAGAGAGGCGAGAGAGGAGAGAGAGGGAGAAAAGAGAAAAGAGACAGAAAGGGGGTGAGAAAAAAGGAGTGATTGAGAGAGGAAGAAACGGATGGATGAGGAGGAAGAAAGAAGGATGGCAACCAGGGAAAAACAATCCAGGCTCTGCTGAAGATCCCAAACAAGTAATGAAGGATACAGCGCATCGGATGCTGCCTTAGGTGCGCCATGGTTCAAAAAAGAGGGGGCCTCTTTTCCAAATCGGGTGTGAAAGGTTCATAATTCACCAAGGGTACTTTACTACTTTTCCTTTTCTTTTCTAACAAACACTCAAAGCCCCTTCTATTTTGGGGGCCGGCAGTCCGGTTGCTTATCACTGGCAAGGATGAGTACAGAGAAAAGAAAAGAAATAGCAATAGGATCAGCCTGCCCATGTGGCACTAGTCGCCTATTCAAGGTGGGGACTGCTGCGGACCGTCCCACCCCCCAAACCATGGCCTCCCCTGGGGCTCTTCTGCAGGCCGGGAAGCTTACTGGCAGCACCTAGTCACACAGTAGAAGGGGCCCAGGGGGGSGGGGKGGGGGGGGGGGGGGGGGGGGCTTCCCAGCAGTCTCTCAGGCTGCATGTCTCTAGTTCTTCTCATCCCTGCAAGCTCAGAACAGTTTTCTAATACCATTTGTATCACCTGGTACTCATACCCGTTCCGTTCCCCCAAAGTTGTTTTCCCTATCTGTCTACTTCAATGCTTCTAATCCACGTCCCGGCGTCCATGGTCTCCTGGCAGACTCCCTTCCTGCTCTACTCACTGTCAGCCCTGCTATGCCATGTCCTCATCGCCATCAGGAGTGTACCCCAGCTTTTCAAGTTCCGCTTACGAAGTTCTCCCTTTTTTTCCCCTTTTTAGTAGTTTTTACTGTAAACCCTCCAATCCCCTCCTCTCCCGCCGGCCTCCCCCCCGGCCCCAAGAACATACCCCAATTCCCGTCTCCCTGCCCATCCTACCCACCCCTATCGTTCTACCTATCGACCTCCTTTTCCTATTCTGATACATCCTACACCTCCCCTTTACTCTCTACAAACCCACTTTGCTAGCTACTTTTACTAATTACTTTACAAACCGGCCTCTGATCTTGGGACCTGGTCCCCCTCAGTTTGCAGCCCAGGCAGGTGCCGCAGTAGGACGGGGCTGAAGCGCATCTGGTCTGTGCAGGGGTCTCGGGTCAGCAGCTGCTGATAAGGGCCCCATCTCTCCCAGAACCCTTTCTCCTTGTGTTCCCCCATACGTCTGCGTCGATGGAAATCCGCCATCAAAGCTATCCTGATGTTTTCCAGCGCTCGCTCCTGATATGCCTGCAGTGGAGGGGTCGCTCCTTGCCTAGACCGTTCGTTCCTCAATGTCCACAGGGGCCGTAGCACTGCGGCTCTTATGATCTCTCCAGTCATCAAGTCCCCAAACCCCGACCTATCAACTTTCATCAGCACTCCCAGAAGGATAGCCGAATCGTCCGTCTGTGGCCACCAGCGGCACCTTATCTGCAAGCTCCTGCGCCCACCACTCCCAAAAGGACCGGATCACCGGGGATCGCACGAAGAGGTGGGGGACAGTTTCCACTAGGCCGCACCCTGCAGCACACATCTGATCTTTTTGGCGGCTTTTGGTGGCTTGTCATTGTGCCATCAGGATTGCCAGGTGGTAGATTTGCCACAGCAGGCCCGCCTGCTTCTGGTCGGGCATGGCTGCCAAGATAGCGCACTGCTCATTCCACCTTCACTGCATCCACCTAAAGAGGTACACGTCCAGGAGCCAGTCCCTCTTGGCCGACCGCCCCTTCAGCTCCCCACAGATGTCCGTTGTCTCCGGCATGGCCTTTGTATGCATCTTCTGGGGCGGCCATTCCCACTCCCTCGGATCCCACATTAGGTCTCGCGCTCTGAAGGCCACCTGATATGGCTGATACTGGCCCTCTCCCTTCTTGCCCCCTTCACACACCACCACTGGCTCCACCATCTCTCTTGCCAGCCGTCTCTCAGCCCCCCTTCCTTGTGTCCTATCTCCTGCAGTGGTTCCCCCAACCCATCATATCCCAAGCCCGGGTTCCACCCTGTACACTCTCTCTGGTGGCCTGCCTGCCTTAATCTTCACCCAACCCCCTGGCATTATTTCATCTTTTTTAAGCAATTCCATCCACTGAGGGGGAATGACCTCTCTCAGTCTCACCCTCTGCTTTCTCTCCATTCGCCCGTGCAGGGCCGCATCCATTTCTTCGTCTGTTCGCCAGTCCTTCCGCCATTCGTCACACAAGTGTCCCACCTTATAGATCCCCTGCTCTGCCCACTTCCACCCATAGGCTCCTCACACTTCTTGCCATGGTAGTGGCTCCCCACCATCGTCGCAGATGAACCGGTTGTCGAAGAGCATCTGGTTATAAACTGGATCTGCAGTTTTCGACAGCCTGAACCTTACCTGAATCTTTTTTCACAGTGCCAGCTTCGTGGTCCATACCATGCCCCTGTGGATATGGCCTGTTGCCATGCTGCTGATCAGACGTAGGTGCACCACTTCCTTTGGCACCCGAAGCGAGTCGGCTAGGTGGGACAGAGTCACCTCTTGCCAGGTGCTTCCCTCTGTTCATAGCAGGGCCCGGATCACCTGCCGTAGTTGCAATGTGATGATCTGCAGACGCGGGTCGGACACTCCTAAGCCACCAACTCTCCTTGGCTGGACCAGTTTGTTCCAGGCAACTCTACAAATGAAGTCATCAGCCTCCGCATTATTCGGCCACAGGTGGGCATGGACTGCCTTCCTAAGGTATCGGAACATGCTCCTCCCCAGCATGTGCACTGCGCCCGTGAACCACAATGTGGCCAGTACCGAGTTCTTGATAACTAGGGCCTTGCCAAAAACTCCCATGGTGCCCCTTGCGCTCCATGCTTTAAATCGGGTCACCGCAGCTGTGGGCCGTATCGCCATCTCTTCCACACTGCCATAGCTTGGTGTAAGGCTGGCTCCTAGGAAGGCCATCCTTTCTCCTTCTGTCACAATCAGAATGTCCCACCCCTCTGTAGGTTCAACCTCAAGCGGGAAAATGGCCTTCGACTTCTGCCAATTGACGCATGCCCTAGAATATATGCAGAAAGTCGCCAGGTCCTCCTTGAGAATTCCTAGCTGACGGGTGGTCGAAGGTATCACTGCTCCCGCGTCATCTGCGAAGGCCGTAGACTGCAGTTCCGTTGTTGGTCCCGCCTTCAAGCTTATCAGCCTCTCGTCTGCCCTAAGGATTTCATGCATAGGCTCGATGTAGATAACATAGAGGGCTGGGGAGAGCGGGCACCCTTGCCTAACCGAACGAGTGATTTGCGATTTGTCCGATCTCACCCTGTTTACCTGCATCACCGTTGCCGCCCCCCTTAGCAGACTTCTGACCCAACTGCAAAGATTCCTCGTACTCCTCGTCGCGCCATCCCCTATTCCAAGAACTCCCAAGTAACCCGATCATAGGCCTTCTCTAGGTCGACAGAGACGAAAGTGATGGCCTGGTCCGTGCATTGTTTTTCCTCCAAAACCCGTTGCCCCAGCAACACGTTTGAGAGAATCTGACGGCCTGCCACGAAACCAGTTTCAGTATGAGCAATAATATTCCGGCAGGACCTCCTTCAGGAGGGTCTTGTGCAGTGCATTCCGGATGGAGATCGGCTGCCAGCTGCACACATCCTTCTTCGCCCCCTTTTTATAGAGCAAAACCACGTAGGCATCCGCAAAGCCATGCGGGAAGGAGCCATTTCTGAGCGCTTCGTTGTAGGCCGCCGTCAGGAGGGTCACAAAGAAGTTGCGAAAGTCCTCAAACAGCTTCACTGGCATGCCATCCAAACTGGGCACCTTAAGTCTAGGGAGCTCTGCCATTGCTCGTTCCACCTCATCTGGCCGGATATCCCCCTCCAGTTTGCACGTGCTTTCGAGATCAAGCCACCTCTCCATGTGTCTCCATACGTCTTGTTTGGCCATATCCGCTGATTCCTCCGTCAACAGTTGGCAATAGAAGTCCGTGATGCACTTGAGTATTCCTCTTGTGGTGCGCTGTCTCTCCCCCTGCCCACCGAAGGGGTGGTCCATGGCTGTCATCACTGGCGTAGCCATGCCTCCATGTGCCTCCCCCACTTAACTGCCTCCTCTCCCTGCCATTCCCTCCTTGCTCGGTATGCCTCCACCCTTTCCACCCACCATTCCTCTTCTGTCTGGTCCCATCCTGGGCCACTATTTAACTCCCCTAGCCTATGGGCGAACTCCCCTGTTCTCTGATGCGCCAGGTAGCTGCTGCGCAGATGTTTTGCTAGAATCCCTCTCAAGCTTTGGAGCGCCGTCATCACGTGCTCCAGCAAATTTTCCTGTGCGCATTCATTCACCCATTCTTCCCAGAAACTGGCCACCACCGGCCGAAACTCCTCACTCTTGAACACCCACGCCGGGACTGACTTGGGAGGATGGCCGATCTCCAGCTTGCCTACTGGATAAGTCGCTGTCACAGCTGCATGGTCTGAAGTGGCCATTGGACTAATCTGCACCTGCTCGACTGCTGCGTTGAGGTCTGCCGATGCCCAGATCATGTTGATTCGGCTCCTGGTTGTATTTCCCCGGAAGGTAAAGACCCTCTCTTGCGGGTATAACACCCTATACGAGGCTGTGCAGCTGAGCACGGTCATTCCATTGACCAATGCCAGCAAGTCCGCCTCCACCTGCCTGTTGTTTGCAGAGTCCATCTTTGGGTCAGCGACAGAGTTGAAGTCTCCTGCTACGGCAATGTTGTCCACTTCCGGCACCAGGGTCTGCAGCCTCTCCCACATCCGTCGGGGTACCCCCATCTCTGTCGGTCCATAGACTTTCCTCCGCCAACTTGAGCATAACCCATGCCCACCGCCCCCTGGAGTCGTTGTACCAATCAGTCACCTCCCCCCTGGAGTGGGGGGTAACCAAAATACATACCCCCCCCTCTTCTGCCTTGTGCTGGGGCCCACACCTGGTGGCCCTTCCACCATAGCATAGGCTCCTTGTTTTTTTTTTAACAGAGCCTCTCGGTTCCGGCTCCTGCCATTCTGGGGAGCAACAGTCCGGTTACTATTCCCCCGGCAAGTCAATTATGAATACAATGAACACACACTCACGCTCCCCCCCATTATGGCTGAGAGGCCCGAGTGGATGGCATTGATTACTTCCCTGGGGAAGGATGTACCACCCCTCACCCCTGCCTAAGTATATCCACGATCTCCTGATCCTATGAGACGCCTAGCTCCTAGCTCTTCTCAGCTGAGTGCTGTCGGATGAACCTGAACGCTAGAGCCGATGTCTGGAGCTGGCCTCTAAGGGTTTGTCAAAGGATTGTTTCTACACATCTCTACCTGATCATAACAAGGCAACTCATGTGAACTTGCTACTTCTTGACCTGTGTGGGGTTTTATTCCCTAACCTTCATCTCTCTCAGCTTTTAGGCTACCAGGTACTCTATTTCTTATCTGCACTGTTGTTTCTGCCTTTGGCCTTCTCTTAAACCTTAAACCCTAGGCTTTTCGGGTTGTCTGTTGTATGCGGTTTGTAATTTTGTCTTTTCCTTGAGGGAGCTATTCCCTAGTCCTCTACGGTTTTAGTCCTTCCTCTTAGTGACTAGTTCACCGAAAACTTAAACGTGACTGCAGTTCCGTTGGTTGGAGGGGGTTGTGCCGTTGGTCCCCTCCTTCAAGTTCTATGCGCGGATCTTATGGTTTAATCCAGGCCTAACGTCATGTTTGTCAGATGGGTTCTGCTTCTTGGTGTTTCTATCGGCTGTGAGTGGGTTAGATGTGTGTATCTCCATTGTCCAAATTGGATTTTGTTCTGATTTATTACTGCTATTTTCCCTTCTCCTAGGAATTGTTTCTTGAATGCTTTCAATTATTTTGTCCTTATCTACTGGGTTATTATCTATTTTCCTGCATGCCCTCTTCCATCGTCCTCTTTACTCTATTAAGTTAAGACTTCCTTCCCATGCTTCCTGGGCCGCTAGAGCGGAGTGGTCGACTGTCTCGTGGCACCTACGCTTCCATATCATCCATAGTGTCGCAAGTCTTAATATGTGGAAAAAGGAGGTTTCGAACCTTTGCCATGTTTGTTGTGTGTGAAGGCCTAGTAAGAGCAGGATCTGGTTTGTTGGGAGGGTTTTGTCTGTGATAGAGTGCCATAGTTCGGTTGCTTTTGCCCACAGTTGTTCTGCCTTTTGACGATGAAGTAGGCAGTGCTCTATGTCCTCTATTGGGCCTTCTGAGCAAATTGCGCAGCATTCTTGTAGGGGGGATCTTGACAGAAGGCTTCTTCTCTTGTTCAGTCATTGGTTGACTGGGAGGGCGCTGTGCACCAATAGCCATTGAAAACTCCTTATCTTTGCTGAAGTGATGGCATAAACTCCGCTCCACGACGTGACCAAAGTCTGATTAGGAGGTAGGTTGAGTTTTTCTTCCCATCTCTGGCTAGTGATCTGAATTAGGGGTTACGATCGCCTTCTTAGTGTGTAGCCCAGTTTGGTGGTATATTCCAGTATGTTGGTGCGTTTCTCAATTCCGAGTCTGCCCGACTTGCTTTTCCATGCCCACTCAGCTGGGTCTATCTCTAGGTCCGCAATGTCGGTGAGTGGGTTGTAGATGCAGCGCTCTCACGTTTCCACCACCCTTACTTTCCTCAATGACCGTTCTGGTATCACAATTTCCCTGGATTGATTGTTGTTAAGGCGGATTGTAGTCGACCCTGGGTTTTCAATCGAGTAAATGTCACAGATCATCCATTCCCCCCTCGGTCCTTCTCTTGAGAGAAACCGGTAGGCCGAGGTCGGAGTATTGTCTGTCGTTCTTGTCGCCCAATCCCCTGCCTTCCATGAGCGCGGGTGCTTGAGAAACCGCTGCCAGATTTCTGGTATAGAGATTAGCATGTGGTTCAGGTTATGATGTAAGTTGTGACATCCTTTCATTGCCTCCCTTAGTTCTCCTACCTTTTTCCATCTCTTTTCTGCGTCGTTCCATAGGTGTTTGACTTGCCACACTCCCTTTTCTACCCATGTTCCCCATTTTGTATATCTACCAGTCAACGTCCAGGGTTTGCCTTGTGTGTCGAGCAACCATTGATTGCAGAAGAGAGGTTGTGGAAGGACCTCTTCTTTGACTGTGGGCTCTCTCACTTTGGCTGGCAGAATTTCTCTCCATGTTCTCATCAGTTGTCTCCAGAAATCCACGTTTTGTTGACCTTCCCCTTCCTCTGTTCCTGGTGCTCGCGATGTTCCCCTCATTGCCCAAGATTTGTTCATGATCCAGAACTCGCCCCTCATGTTATCGGGTGTTTTGTATTTGGCTAGCTGTTGTATCTTGTACAATCCAAACTTGGTCCATGGAGAGAAGGTTAACCATTTGTGGGTCCATGGCAGATTATGGTTAGTTATTATCTTAAGGACCCATTTCGTTTGCAGTGCCGTGATTTGTGTTTCTGGATCCAGGATTCCTAGGCCGCGTCGTGTCTTCTTGAGTGTGACATATCTCCACGCAGCCTTTGAGATGAAATTGACTTTAGAGGGATCCCCATACCAGAGATAAGCTGCTGCTCTCCTTCTCAGTTGGAATCATAGGCTGCTGCTCTCCTTCTCAGTTGGAATCTTATCCGCTTCGGTGGGCTCCATACTGTTGTGGCATACCATAGCATTGAGAAGATCAGTGCGTTAAGGATTAGAGCTCTGCCGAATAAGGAGGTATGTACCTTAGACCAGTTGTCGAGTTTGGTTATCATTTTGTTCATTATTGTTGGAGCCATAGCTAGGTTAGGGCCATGCTTGGACATCTGTATTCCCGAGAATCTGAGTGGTTCGTTGCCTCGGGACCAAGTCATGCCTTCCGGGTTGCTTGGTGGAGGGTCGGTTTGCGGGTGTGGAAGCCACCAGCCGACTGTTTTGGGCCAGTTGATTTTCATTTCTGATGCTGTTTGCAATGCCATTGGGGAGGCCGGGGCGCAGCGCAGCCGGGAGCGCTGCGCCCCGCCCACGCAGTCAGGCTGAGCAGCGGCGAGCGGCGACTTGCGGCGGCGCAGTGCGATGGTGATTCAAGCGGCGCGGGACGGCAACAAGCGACGGTGCGGTGCGGTGCTGGGGGGAGTGGATTCGGGGTGGTGTGAGGTGGTGGTTGAGAAGTTTTGGGCTGAAGGGATGATGATGGGAAGGATGGCAATAAGGGTGATGCATCGTGCGTAGAGGATGAGGCTACTACGAAGAGGCTGCTTGTGAAGGGCTGCGAAGGGTATGGGCTGCCAGCATCATCATCAGAGCTACGAAGGGCGGGGTGTCACGTGTTCAACGAAAGAGGTGAAGGGCATGGAAGGTCTGTTCCCCCCTGGACTACCAGTGAGGGGTCACCGGCAGGTTCGATGGTTTTGTCTTGCTACGTGGCAAGTGAGGGGTAAGTGAAGCCACGGTCCGTTAGTCCTTATTGTTCAGTCCTTTTCTTGATGGCCGCGAGAGTGGCCATGTGATGGCTGAGTTGCCTTCGGGCCGATAAGGGAGGGGGTGAAGGTTTGGGGGAGACAGACACATCATGATGAGAGGTCGGTTTATATGTTTTGATCCATAGTTTTGCTCTTCGTGGCTTGAGTGACCTCCGTTTTTTTCGTTCTGATCTCGTTATTTGGGAAGCAGCTTCAAGATAGTAGGCTGGATTGGATGTCAACTTGTGGAAGCACCCTATGTAACTATTGGACAAATTGCATCAGTTTTTTTTTTCCGATTTCGATTTTTAGATGATTGTAAATCTGTTTTTTTCTAATCTCTGGTTTTCAATTTCATTTTTTTGGATTTTTCTATTTGATTTTCTCATGACAGGTGGCTTTAGGTTTTCAATTCTAATTTGATCCAAGAACTGCGGACTCATGAATGAATTCAAAATTTTCTGAATAATTTTCGATTTGATCCTATCATGTTGATGATCGTAAATCAGAGTTTTGTCTCTGATCTCGAATAATGTTTTCTAATTTTTTAGATTCTCAATGAACTCATGAAGAATAATCTACAAACCTGATTCAAGACAGTGGGATCATGAATGATCTCCAAAATTTCTGGATAACTCTCTATTTGTTCCCTTTATATTGACGATCGTAAATCAGAGCCTCGTCTCTGATCTTAAATAGTGATCTCTAATTTTTTAGAATTTCAATGGTCTCGGCTTTATGTTGAATCTTGTTGTTCCTTTTTCCAAAATTCGTTCCTGATTACCAATTTCCAAAAGTCGGTTGCTGAAGGATTTTCTATTCAAAAAATCGGGGGGGGAAGCTAGAATTGGAGGATGGAAGGTAGTAAAGGGTTCTCAACAAAGGAAGGTTGTCGGTTAGGGTAAGTAGGTTAGAAGGACGATGCTGGGACGACACAAGCCGGTGCTGGAGCTTGTGCTCTGTGACCCAGGGGGAGCTTGAGGCCTGTGAAGTTATGACAAACGCATAACCAGACTATCCGACGTGGTCAGCGCCGGGGTATTGACCTTGTAACCTTTTTAGGGGTTTGCCGCTAAGGGAATTGTCGAGGGAGGAAGGCACTTCCTATCCGTCAGAACTAGGTTGGTCGGTACTGGGGAGGGTTGTGGTGCCCTGTTACCCTAGCAGAAGGGGGTATGAGATCAAGTGAGTTCTGGTATGAGGACTGAAAGCCTGGACCGACACTCCGTCTGTTGAGGGGGGGAATTTAGGATAGTAGGCAGTTCTAGTTTCGCCCCCCCCGCTCTCATAAATTTCATGAGTTGGTCGTTCGGTGGTCCTGGAATGTTTTTAGGACTCTGGGATTCCTACTTACTCGTCCTAAGGTGGCTTCGACGCTGTTATACTCAGTGATTTGTGGTTG